CGCCGCCCCCGGCGCCCTGTTCTTCCCGCGGCCCAGCATGCACCGCGCCCCCCGCGGGGCAGCGGTCTCTGATGTCACCAAAAGTCATCAGTGACGTCAGAGGGGGCAGAGGCCGTGACGCCATGATCCCCGCACCCCGCGGTCGAGCTCTGGGGCCTCCCAGCGCCCTGGAACACCCCCCCCACCCCACACCCCAGCCACGGTCCCTTTGAGGGGCAAAAGGGGAAGCAAAAAAAAAAAAAATTGCAAATCGGAGAATGTTGGGTGTTCCTGGCTCGTACTGCCAGAGCCACAGGTCCTGCAGCGAGTCCGCCAGGTGCCCCTTTGCGGCCGTTCTTGACCAGTTTGCCCGTTTTTCTCCTGCTCAGTGGTGGCACCATCTTTTCTGCAGTGGCTGGTCGTGACCTCAGGAGGAAGGATGATAAATCATTCGGGGAGGAAGGCCGTGGGCAGGTGAATCTGCCTAGCGACAAGGCTGTCTCATTCCCTATCTCCGTTCCTGCCGGGATTACATGATAAGAATCAGAAACTGCCTGAAACGTGGCCTCTCCTTCCTCTACGGGCAGGGAAGTTTGGAGCAGAGCTGCGTTAGGCATGGCTGAATTCCTGCAGCACATCCCTGCGCTCCCCCCAGCCTGTAACATCATCAGGACACGTTTATCGTGTTACTTACCCCGCTTTGTGCACGCTTCACTGAGGCATCGCAGTACAATGGCAGCATTGTGGGTGCTACCCAGGTGGAAAGCAAAAAAATGTGTTCAGCCTCAGCCCAGGGGGGTGAGAGACTGGTTTAACTCCTGCCCTGCCATGTATTTTCCTGCTTTGGACCGAAGGCGAAGGCTTGCACCCACACAGTCACAGTCGGGAGACTAAAGTGGGAGACAGACAACTCGTGCCAGGCCAAGGAGGCAATTCTGGGACCTCCAGAGCTAAACCAGTTTGACTAAGGATCTCTCAGCAGAAAATATCCATCCCAAGAAGAAAAACGAGCCATCAGCTGAGCGGGAGCCATCAGCACATTACCGCATTAGCCCCAACTGCAAAGTCAAAAGCTGCACTAGGCTTCATCAAAAGTGTCTCAACCTATTACTGCTCCTAAAATTCAGCTACTCTGTCTCCCGTTCCCTGCTCCTCCCTGGTGCTGGGACTCAGTTCCCACCCAGCAGATTTTTAAATAAAGGATTGGATATGTATCTTCAAGACACTGGTGGAGAAAGACTGACTGACTTCCCGACCTTAGCTGATGCGGGGTTATGAAAGATTCACGTTCCTCCTCTAGATTCTGGGTCAAATTCTACCATTGCCGCTATGTGAAAGGGTTCAGGGTTTTCAGGAGGCACGAACCAAATCACATGCACTATCTCCTTGTAATTCTGCTGTGTGTCACCCTGTCATCCCTGGACTCGACAGCAGAGCACTGGCAGCCCAAACTGTCAGCGCTGAAATATATGCCTGGCTTTCACGGGCCTGATTTCCCTTTAGCAGGGAAAAAAACACCGTGATGTTCTTTCTTATTACCCTGTTGACACAACATTGGTTTTATTTTGTTCCTGTGCGGGCCAGCACAGATGAACATTACCTTGCTAACGTCCCATAAAAAAACATCTACCCGCATGCTCTGAATGGCTTATTTGGTTCTTTTAATACATTCCGGCGAGAGCTTTGTCTCCATTTGGTTTTCCTTCCCCCTCTACTTCTCGTATCTGTTTCAGTGAGATAAAGGACTCCACTGCATTCAGAGGCTACACTCTTTCACTAACAAGCCTCATGTTTTTTGCACAGCTTACCTGTGCTATTTAGTTGCTAGAAGGCAGACAGCATACTTTAACTGGTAACTGGCACCAGCGGGCTACATTTTGATTTGAAATACATTTCAGTTGCTGCTTTCTATAGTTACAGATCAACTGGATATAGCAGATGTCCGTGTTAACCTCTGCTGGGTCAGAGCTGCAAGTGTGAGAAAGTAACCGATGTATCCCCTGGCCTACATTAAAGCCCATTTCGCTGGAGACGGGACAAGTCGGGGAATTGTTAACACCCTATAGTCTTTCACCTCCAGGGGCCAGTTTGAATTCAGCCCAAACTAGCACGGATTGAATGTGCTTATCATCTGTTGGCCGTCTCATTGTTCAAATGAAATAAGTTTGATGGGTCTCAATCTACTCCTCCCTGGCAGACAAGTATCCGCTTGCCAAAGGTTCTACTACCATTGGCCAGGTGACCCCTCCCTGGCAGGCTCCCCTCTTTCCCACCGCTGCTTCCCCTGGGATTAAACAGGCCATGGGAACTGGAGTCACCTCTCGACTTGCTTCCTCCCTGTCTGGTCGCAGAGGCGCTCCCAACAGTACGCATCCACGCTGGAGCTAGTTCCCACACACCGAACAAGTGCCACGTAAGAGGCATTCACCCCAGCAACATGTCCATGGCACAGCAACCCAAATCCAAATTCGTTATTTTTATACTTTTAGAGCCAGACCAGATCAACCTCAGCAAGAAAAGCACCCTCAACACCTGAAAAAATTCCAGTCACAATCCTTTCCTCATTACTCACGCTTCTAATGTGCCACAAATGTCACCTACTGCCAAGGGGGGCACTTACCAGGGTCTGAGCAGGTTTGGGGGTTTGTACATACTGAGGCCAGAAGGAAGCCACTGTTAACATCCAGAACACAAGTCACAGACTCCCCTAATTTCACTCCCACCTGATCTGGAGCAGATCTTTCAGGGGAAAAAAAAAAAAAAAAAAAAAAAAGAAAAAGAAAAAAGCATGTACTCTTGTAAAATTACCTGGGACGGAGAATCAAACACAGTCTGTGAAATATCAGTTAATTACTCACTATATTAATGAAAACAAAACAAAAAAAAAAAGAAGTGGGCTTCCTTCTAGTCAG